AGTGTGGTAGTAGTAAGTACTTAACTACGTACTCGACTAACTTAGTATAACTATAGTTCGTAACTAATACTATTCTACTATAATATACGTAGTATATTCTAACTATATATATATATATATATATATATATATATATATATACATAAATTATAATTTTTTTACTTAATCAATACACAATTGTGATATTTTTTATGATGATTCTCATCATATGCTATACGTATCTGTTTTCCTTTTCTTTTTTTTTTGGATTTTCTGAATGTTCCTTACTATAAATAAAAAATTTCCAAGTTTCATCCTTTATACACCCAACTTTTTCTGTCCTTAATGTTATTTATCTTTTAGTTTAATTTTTATTTATTTATTTATTGACAAATTGGTTATTTTTTATTTATAACCCTTTTTGAGCTCATACCCTACTTGTGCAAGTCCACTCGGACTTACCTGAGTCCCGAGCCCAAGCCAAGTAATTGAACCTTGGTTGAAATAGTCACTGGCCTTTGGATAAATCTAAATTGTGGTTTATATTTGAACCATTTAAATAGCTATATTGGTTGATTTGTCAATTGTAACGGCAAATTCGCTCTATTTAATGAGTAGACACGTACAATAGTTAGATTTTGGCCTAAACTGAAATTCAAGTCATACATTTCCTGTGATCTATATGCCATATGGTAGCTAAGGCCTTACTTGGAATGTCCAAATTTTCTTAATGGGAATATGTTATAATAATATTGCCATCCATATAAATAAAAGACTAACAAACAACAGTAGTCTGGTTCTAATATTCAATTCTCTGCCAGTGTCATGTGCTTCATGTATATGAGAAAAATGCATTTATTTAGATCTTGTCATATATTTCAGCATTTTGGCTGGCAAAATTAAACGAAAATCTCGGTCAGAATATTGGACATTCCTTGAGGAGCACCTGAATTTCTGAATTTCAGGTCAGGTGCTCTGAGGCTCCGACAAGATCGACGGAAATTTGATCTAACGATCAAATAGGTGGTCCCTCGGATTTAGTTACATGGGGATTCACTCCCTATGTGTCAGTCTAGCGATCGTTGCAGAATGGCAATTACTCTGCAACCAAATAACCACCACCTCACGACTAGCGTCCACCCTCCTGTCACAAAATGAAATACAACGGGCCTCCTATATGATCATTTTCCACACATAACACATATAGGGTTATTCTAGGCTACGCAGCTCCAATAATGAACTCAGAATTTGCTACCCCCGATTCTTTTTACTATGAAACATATTTACAAATTTTAAAGTTACATTAGCAACAACTTGCTTGAGAAGTTTGACTAAGGGTATTAATATCATTTCGTTACATGATGCCATTGCACCTGTATCCTATGTACATGTTACATTATTGTGTGGATCTCTACAAGTGGAATTGTGCCACTGTTGCAGAGGTTCATAAAGAGGAGCTGTTTCTTGCTGCCTATGTTTTCAATTATTTCCCTTCTATGCATTCTGTTTGTTTTTTTCTATATTACATGTTTGTTGTGACTCGTTAGAGTCCGAAAATTATGATGCTGAAGCAGTCCAATAACTTGCTCCGCACTGGCTTGTTGGAGTGCTGATTGTACGGTACCAATCCCATTTTGTGTCCTTAACTCTTCTCAACTCTGCTAGCTGCTGAGTAGATAATGCCATTAGCATTTGCCATTGGGTCACCAAATTTGGTCATATAAAATTTGATTAGAAGCCACAAAGCATGGTAATAATGCAAAAAACTTGAATCGAAAGGATAGTTCTGATTGCTTACTCGTCCATCTTGCAGCTCGAACACAACTGAGTCATCAGAGAAGGGTATTGGTCGAACTGCTGCCACCTGCATGAAGATAGTGAGTTGATTAATTAAAATCTTGGGGACAATTAGGATTATGCCTAATAATTACTTTAAATATAGTTAAGTTAGAAAGTACTCCAGAAAGCTACCTCAAACATTTCATTCATCAAGTTACTTGATAGACATTGATGTCATTAGGGAGTGGGTATCAGTTCCACTCTAGATTTTGTTTTCGGTCAATGTCTGGTTGTATCTACATTCTGAATTTGTCTGAGAACTTGTTTGTTTTGGTTGTGTAGTGAGGTTTTCCAGTGATTCAGTCATTTTGGAGGGGAAATTATCGTTTCCCTGAATCAAAACTAGAAAAATAATTGTAAAAAAGTGAACTTTTTAGATTGCTGCTCACTGTTATACAAGTTTGTGGATCTGTTTTTAAGTTGATCTAAATTCATTTTCTGACATTATTGAAGTTTTGAGATCAATTGATTTTTTAAGTTGATCTAAATTCAACTTCTGAAGTTATTATTGAAGTTTTGAGATTTATTGATTCAGAGTTGCACCTTTCCACTGAGTACAAACCTTCTCATTGCAGAGCCGGTTGAAACCATATGAGCTGTATGCATCTCTTTCAAAATTAGGTGGATCTTCTGTGCTGCATTCTTGCGACATCTTACCACCTTCCTCTCCATCTTGTGCACTTTCTCTAGTTTGAGCTGCCGCATCAATCCTTTCTGGGGAAGGATAGCCATATGATTTCCATTTCCATTTTCTTTCAACCATGTACCTTCGATAAACCTGACCATCTGATCCAATCACAAACAGTTGGTTATCTTCAAAGCTTGGCCCTGGTGCACCAGCTAGAATTACTTTTTTTTTGGTATCCCATGCTCGATCCAGTTCCAACCATCCACTGCATTCCATGAATATTCTATTAGCCCACCATCCTCAGAACGCATGAATAAAGATCCTCGTAACGATGAAAGAGACGGCCTAATAACAGTGCCAGGCAACTTTGATAGGATCAAATGACGGGGTTGATCATGCTCATGCCATAACTCAGTCACTAGGTTATACTGATATAGTCGACCATTGTTTCCTATCACAAACACTATATTTGATCTTAAACCTTCCTGATCTACTATAGAAGCAATCTTGGTTTCATAGGGGCTTCGACAATTCTTCCATGTGAATTTCCTCAATGCGACCTGCAAAGTATCTGATCTTTAGTTGTGAAGTCTACTGGAACAAATAATCACCATGTTAAAAGTAGGAAGTTCTTACTTGGAACCATGATTGTACAGTTGAGATCTTACCACAAACTGGACCAGAGCTCCATTTTTGCTCACAAAAAATAGTGCCTGGTTTGCTGTAATCCTGCGTGCGATACCTGCTGTTCCATCCCATGGGGGCCCTAGGGCAACCTGTCTCCCCTTATTCATGGCGGTGCAGTTGATCCATGCCAATCCATTGCTGCTCCTCTCTCTGATAATTAAGTTTCCATTCACATCAACCAAAAATAGGCTACCGTTGTAAGTTCCAAGCACACCTCTCATAGATACAGTGTATTCATGACTTAACCATAACCAAACGTTCTCAGCCCACAAATACTCAAAAGTTGAACCGCTCTCTGTTACAATGAAAAATGACTTGTCTGCCTGCATTGTACGCATCCGGTAATTAATTCTTATGCTGCTTGTTAAGAAATTATATTGATACGGAGTCGCTGCAATGAGACTTTTGCCAAGTGTACTTGGAATTAGATGGCCTAGAGATGCTCGTCCTTTCCTTCTTCTTGATGGTATGATTATTCCTGATTCATTAGATTCTTCCTCGCTCTGTATGTCCTTTACTCCTGAGATGCAGTTTGATGGTCCACGTTCATTGTTGCAATACTCTGCATTCCACCCTTCGGTTTCTGGAACATCTATAATTGACCACTCATATTTGGATAATGCTTTTCTTCGTATGTTGGTGACAGTTGGGCCTGAAAATTCACCACCGTTACCTGATGAATGAAGCTCTCCAAGTCTCCCGTCGTGTAATGGGAATAATATCCTGCCACCTTGAAGCTGAAGTCCTTGAATACCTGTTGCGCATTTGGCATGTAACGGGTGCATGTGATTTACCCATCCTTGTGGTGATTGAGGTCCCTGGTTTGCACCTGCCTTTCGTTAAAACTTAATATTAAAATACTGTAACATGCTGCAAGCCAAAGTATGATACTTCTTTTTCTAGATGGTCGTATTGCATGTTTAAAGAATCAATGGTTAGGATGTGTCACATGGTGTTGATATAGAGGTATCATACTCTGAGGCATCCATAGAGTGAGAACCTTACTATGAATATGCAATACTAATAGCCCATGTTCGTTTTCTACAGTATCTATTTCTTTTCTCGTCTTGTGGAATTGCAATCAGTTTTGGTATTGGAATTATAGTGTTCTCTGTTTTTCGCTTCATTCAGATTGGCAAGTCTACTGATGAAACGTGATATGATAATAATGTTCATCAAGAAGTCTACATGAAATAGTTGTATTTCCTTGGTGATAATTTGTTTTTTTTCAGGTGTGTTACACATGCTCACAAATTTCATCTCATACGAGGATAGAAAGGTTAAAAGGTAATGATACATCAATCAAGAATGATTCAAGAAATTCTATTTTTGGACTTATTAGTTTTCTTGTTTTGTTAAATAATTAGATTATCTTCTTTTGTCAGATTTTAAGGTATAGCACAAGTAATCATCAGAAATAGATCAGCAAATTCACAACTATTCTATTTTGCGTCAATCATAAAACCCAGAGTAATTTGGAACTTCAGATTATATTTCATATGACTACATAAAATAAATTCACTGCTTGGATGCCTTAATCATCAAGGACTTATGTGACATGAGAATCCATGAAGGATTTAATGTGACATGCGACATTTGGTGCAAGGTGTGCACTGGACTGGAAGGTCGGTCTAGTGAGTACCGATGAAAATTGGTTTGAGCTGGAATGCATGGATCATCATTTGACCAACTGGTTGGTTAGTAAAACTCCTCCCAGTTGTCTTTTTTTTTTTTTTTCTCTTGACCATCCTGACTGGTTTGATGTTCGTTGAATCTGACTAAGACTGGACTAGCCATCTTGTCAAGTCGATGGCAGTCCAATTCTGAATGTGCTTATTAAAACCATAAATGGCTCCTTTAGAAATATTAAATAGCGACAATAGTGTGAACAAACAATTCCTGCATCTATGGCCTCTCTTGGTTCACAGATCTGCTTATAAATCATAGCAATCAGATGGACGACTGAAATAACAGTTATCTCATGCAAGTTTATCTTGCTAATATAAACTTCGATAGTAAATTTCAGAACCGAAATGCAACAAGTATAGGAAATTTCATAACTTAATGGCACAGGCTCTGGTTAAAAATAAGGAGGCGAGAGTGGAAGATCTGATGCTGACATGAGGGGTGGTCATTATACGTAATGAAGCCCCTGGTTATTATGTTGCAGTGCATAATGGTAATTGTTGCCTTGGTCAAACTACCGACCAAATCTATATCTCCCCATTGTGTCTCTTCCCGAAAGCTTTGTTTTTTGCATGCTGCATTACTGTACACGCAAATTTGAATCCAGGTGGTGCCTTTTTGCTATAAATATTGCCTCAAACAAAATCCAACTAATGTCTTCCTTCACTGTGCCACCATAGTCAACTATCATCGATGTATCCATGGCATGTTCATGGGTAATCCACACTCCTATTGTCATACAAACTGACCTTGACGACCAGTTTTTTGATTATTCAGGGCATCCTTTGGAAGTTCTGGAATACCTCTTATATGTTCAAAATGATTAAGTAGATGGATTAATACTCAGAAGTAGTCAGTGGAACTCTCTTTACTACTTCAAATTGAGCTGAATCTTAACCATAAGCATTAGAATGTCGAGGTAATGTCATATCTCGCACATTCCACACATCTGAGGTGCAAATACAAACTGTTTGAGCTATCACTTCCAAAAGGCCACTGATGTAACTCTCTCTCGCTCTCGTGAAAGTCACTAACGAATCTCAAGATAGGGTGATCTGGACATGCTGGAAATTTTTTGAAAAAAAATCTTTAAAGAAGATGTTCTTTGAATTTCAAGCTGAACTTAACGAAGGATGAATAATTTCTGAAAGGTAAGCTTGTTCTAATTGGGTGCAATTCTTAAAGACTATCAACAAGAGATGTGAAGCTTTGCAGCAAATTTGATTGAATAATATTTAATTCAACCTGTTCAGTGTTTGCACATGAAAAGAACAATCTGTGAAGAAAATTTGATCTGAAGCACTAGGTTGATCTCTGCCCACAAATTTAGGCAATCCAACAAATTTAATGAACGAAACAATCCTTGGAAGCCCCTTTCTTAGAATATAACAGAAATTGTACAAGCATATTGCACTATAAATCAAGCAGCCATGTGTATCCATACTTCCATATAGCATAGGACGACAATTAAAATATTTTCACAAGTGGTCATACAATTAATACATCAAACAATGAGAACCTACATTATGCACAACTTAATCTCCTTAGAATGCCTCTATTATTTTTTATTAATAGCTGAATCTACATGGATTATATTTGACCAAGCGATCATTGTCCACATGACTTAATGGATTTTATTCATCTGGCGAAACTGTTAAAGAGCCATGATTATTTAGCTGAAATTCTACGGCGCATGTTCAGGCTATTATGGGAAAACCTTAGAAGTATGTACTCACCTGTGTGCTTGGGGAGTTGATATTCCTGAATACTTCCAGTTGTAGTAGAACAAAATAATGAGTAAGCTTTTGTGTTCAATTCATTCGAAACAATGGGTCCTATAGCACTCAAGGAATGACCTTTAGGGGCTCCATGGACTATCCACTTCCACTTTCGCTGATGTAGTCGTCTCTCCACAAGCAGACCATCCTGCAGATCTAAAAAACTTATTTAATTTTGAAATGGCGCATAAAGCATATGCCATCTACACAGCTGAAGTTGTTATAACCTTAATAGACAGCATGTTAACTAGTACATGCTTTAGTGTATTTCAAATGGTCACTGTTAAAATGAAACTGTGCAATTATATTGCAAAATAAGTTAAGAATGTGATCATGTGAGCATTTGCAAACCTAAAACAGACTACATAGAAAATTGAAAATGAGTATCTTACATGCAGTTACACATAAATGTAAGCAAAAGAAACTATTATTGGATTCTTAGGGGATTGCAGGCCACAAACATAAGTGGAATATCTGTATATTAATATTTATTTGCAAACGTATCTAGGAACAAAATAATAGGGTGTATATTAAGATCCAGCGATTGGGGAAACAGAAAGCTATCTAAAATGTTAGCGATATGTTTGGGTGGTTTCCATGTTGCTAAGAATGCTTGGGACTCATGCCTAACATAGCTAATGTTTCAAATAGCCAATGTCAAAGTAGCCCATGTCGTAGATATAACATGCTTTACATGGTTCAGATGACTTATGCCGAATATGGCTCACTCCCTAGTAAGGCTTAGGCCTGGAGTGGCTCATGTTTCTAATGACTGGTACCTTATGTGGCTTTTACTCCTAGGATTTAGGTTTATGATGACTTATGCTAGAGATAGGTGACACCATAAGCGCCTTATGTTTCATTGTGACAGAAGCAATATCTAATCTATAGCCAAGATGCTTATACAAGCATATTTTACAGTCGTATGTCAAGGAACCATGCTGTCCATTATGTCCAATTGGAAGAACATAATTTGTGCAACACTGCCCTAATCTTTGAAAGATAACATCCCACTATACAAGGAAAATGCTTTTGTATCATACAAAAGCCCTTCTACATACGGAAGCAATAGGGGAAAACTCAATATTATGCAACAGCCTTTTGCGGTTGAAGATCTTGTAGGACAAAGCTGATATTATTCTCATGAAGGGCTAGTCGGATCATTGTGGTTGTCCTTCTCTGGCAAGAAGACATCACCAGGGACAAATCTGATATAAATACAAACTTCTACTGATAGAGTTGGAAATGATATGTTCAATATAAAATATCAGTTTTCAGCACCCAATGATGCCAAACTCACATTCTTGGAGGACGCCATGACATGTGGCGGCGAAAGAATAATATGGGAGCTGGGCAAAAGTCTCACTTCTGTGTAACCACTGCCACCACTATACAAAGGCCACCCCGTGAAACGTGGAAGTTTTGGAAGCAAACCTACTTCCATGGAACCAACCATTATCACAGCATGAAGATGATTTCATCTCGCACGAGGCCCGTTTTTATGCAATTGCTCGCCAATCAACATGAAAATAACTCCATAAGAGTTGTGGGATTGAGTGACACGCCCACCTTTTTGTAACCATAACCCACTCTCTCATGATAACAACTCTCTCTTTCTCTATACAACTTCTTCACAAAATATGCAGCAATTGTTCCCTCCAAATGAAAATCCAAGGCGAAGCTATAAAAGCACAAAGGCCCAAGGAAGGAGGATGAAAGCGAGAAAGATAGAAATACACAAAGTCAAAAACATAGAGAACGAGAGGCAAAGGGAGGAAGATAGAGAAAGAGGAGAGCACCTGTGATGGAACCAACGCATATTCAGTATTCAGGAGGAGTACAATAGCAAATAATAATGTGTATATGAGAGAGTGTTTGTATTAAATAACCATGATGTACATTTTTTCTTCCTTATGACTGTATTATTCACCCTGTCATTGTAATTGATTAAACAGAGGTGTTCCACCGATATATGAAGGTGGATGTAAATTAACAAGGTATCAATGGGTACCCTGGGATTGTAGTACCCAGGAAAAAAAAAAAATTTCCCATGATCAGGATGAGGTTTGCTTGTTCAATGTTTTGCATTTCTCTTTTATTGCACATAGCATGAGACTGTACATTTTGTAGCAAACATGGTTTCTTTTAGCATGTTTACATTTAGCAATTGGTTTGAACTTTGAACACCTGACTAGAAACAGCAGTAGAAATTCTCAAGGACAGGTAGATAAGGTAATGGTCTTGCTTGAAAATCTTACTTCTGTCATGACCTAATATGGTGTAAAAAATGCTGGTCTATTAGACCCACATCCTAAAATAGTTTAAGCCCTTTAGGTGATGGAATCAAAACAAAAGACTTTCATCTACATTATGTCTCATGATTAGTCCTTGCCATTTGGTCTACATGGATGCGCCGCAATGATGAACTAGATACAAGTTCAACAGGGCTGTTTCATTTTTCAGGTTTTCAGATTTCATCTACAAGAGTTCTCTTTGGAGCTATTATTTCCGTCGATTTGCACAGCAAAATAGACAGCACTTGAACTCCTTGATGGTGTTGAGAACTGGTGATTGTTTTCATATGAAGGAAATTTGCAGACTCGATTAAAGAGCTTTCTGCAATAGTTTGTTCATGTAAGAATTCATTTATGCTGGTGTTGGAAATGTTAGAAAAAGGTAAAAGATGGGAGAAATGTGACATGGAGCAGCACAGTAATTGGACAATCAAGACTGAGAAAATGAAAAGTTAAGCCAAACGTAGCAAGACAAGAAAAAGGGAAATGTTACAAGATAACTAAGAGGTATAGTACATGGAGAAATTTATTTTATTATTTAGTTTTATTTCATGTCCATAGAAAATGGAGAAATTTTATTTTATTATTTAGTTTTATTTCATGTCCATAGAAATGGGAGACTTATGTAGGTTAGTGCATGCTTCTTGAATATGACAATCAGTTTTGATTCATTTGGTTTTGTTCAAGAGAATGGTGAGATACAAATAGAAACAGCAGTTGTTTCAAAACAACCGTTTATAAGATAATAAATTGAACATTCCATTGTGAAACATGAGTTTTGAATATGAATGACTAATTTACATCTCCAGTGGGTGCCCTTCTATTGATTTGGTTCTCTTTCTTACTTATCTTACTAGAATAAAAGAGGTTACAGGGGCAGAGGTTAATGAACCCTATCTACTCATGATTCTTTTGTAGCTTCTCAGAAGAACAGAAAGTCACTTTTACAATCATATGATCTTCTGTTAAAAGCCAGTTAACTATGCCTGCATTTGAATCTTTTAAACAGTAATAAATGAGAGCAAGGAAGTCAGTATCACCTTACTTAGAAGGAATATTGACAGGGAATGAGCTCCAAACAAACCACGCGATGCACATGTTCTAGAAGGCAGCAGGTAAGTCTCATCTCCCAAAGGCTCACTCCATATATGTTTCTTCCAGGATGGCTTTGAGGTCTTATCAAATTCATAGAGCTCTCCGGTGGAACTGCAATTTAGAAGTTAGATTTAGTAATTTATAGTGGAAAAAAACTTATTTTTCGTATGTATTGCATTTATTGACAATACAGAAAACAATGTTAAAAAAAAGAAAAAGCCAGAGGTGGGTGCCTAGAAATAACTTCACCCTGTGGGGTTGTTTTATGTTTGGTTTTTCCTTTCTTGTTTTCTGTGGCAGGGGGGGGAGGGGATGTTCTGTGTTTGGCTATAGTCTATTTGTTTCAAACATAGACAAATTTTTTTTTTACGGTATAGTCTATTTATTTTAAACAACGATATGCCAATCGCTTTAAATACGTACATGGAATATACACAATATTTTTTAACCTTTTCAAACAAATTCTTTGTTGTATGATATGAAACCATATATTGCATTGATCTATATTAAAATTTCTTTTTTTTTTTTTGGTTTAGCCAAATTTCTTAATTTTTTTTATAATTAATCTATCATCCAACCAAAACATGCGACTCACCCTAATTTGTGAGGGTCTCTTGACATTTAGTACTGCATATCATTGAGACTGGTCCTTTTTATCAACGATCATTTCAAAATCACGCTTAAAGAATAAAAGAAACCATCTTTTTGAAATAATAAACAGAAATCACAACTCAATTCTTCAATTTAACCATTCATTGCTCCCAATTAACCATTAGTTTCCATTAGAGCAGCCAAAAGTTAGTGATATAATCCCAAAACCTGTAAAGCCCCTTCATAAGTTTGTTAAGAAGCCTTACGCTTTTTTGGGGGGCTGGATTGCCCCTCCAAAAACCCTTTTCACCCTTTTTCAGTGAGGGAAAATACTCTGTTAGTTGAGGGCCTTTTCTGCCCTCAGCCCAGTTGTGCCAAGGCGATGCCTAGGCGCCCGTGTAGGTGGGCGCCTAGGAGCAAGCACACCCAGGGTACCCACCTAGGTCCCGACTAGGCATTTTGGTGGCTTTCAAACAATGATAGAAAAAGCAAAATATCTCAAGAAAATGAAAAGATAGGAAAGATATATAATATTATTCAGAGGTTCAAATTTGAATACCGTACAATTCCTGGTTTATGTGATCTATTATGGAGTATAATAGCAACATACCTCACGATAAAAACCACATCTGGTTTATCTGGTACTGTATCAGCTAAGCCTGCTACATCCCCGCCCGGTGGGTGGCCATGGTTTATCCACCTATAGATGTAACAAATTTCCAAGTGAGGAATTATGTCAGATATGTTTGGTATCATTTGCATATCAAATATTATGTTGTAAGCTCATTTAACTATAAGTCTAAAAGAATTAAAGTGATAGTGACTATCAATAATCTGAGTGATATGTAAAGAAGAAAGAGTTTAAGTACCGGCCTTGTTACCTTGGAGGCTGCAATTCTCTAAGTTCTAACAACGATCCGCATATTGTGGAGAGGTAGAGCATCCTGGTATGAGATAGACATAATTGTGATTCTTCTATGATAATTCATTATGCTCTTTAATGGAACAAGCTTACAAAATTTCTTCTTCTTTATGCTCTGTTGTGGAACAAGTATATGAAATTTCTTCGTCTTTATGCCCGTTAATGGTAAAAAGCTGATAGAATTTCTTCTTAATTATGTTCTTTAATGGAAAAGTATCAGAATAACTACTTGAATGCTGAATAATATTTAGAGATTACTTCCTCAACTGCATCAAAATACTTACTCTCGATTATGTGAAACTGCTCCAGATTTGATTTGGATTGTGCCACTTTTTTCTGTATCTTGGTTTGGTATGGCAGGTTCAAATGTGGGCTGGGTTTCAGACCAAACTGGCTGGGAGTTTTCATTCAGTTGCAGCTGGAAGAAACAGAAAAATGGCGTAAGAGGCAGAGAAAATCAAAAGACTAAAAATTGGTTTGTAGCTCTCTCCCTCTCTGCCTCTCTCCTCTCTCTCTCTCTCTCTCACACACACACACAAATAGAAATATGTTAGAGGAGGCTCAGAATCTACGAGCTCCAGCTCAACGATGATCACATGCAGTGTTCCTAGGATGAAAGTCTAGTTTTAGGAGAATCAGATTACAATCAGAAAAAAAGAAAAGAAAAGAAAAAAAAAGCAGAGCTCGGAGCCATCATAGCCAAATGATCGACAAAGAATATGATTTTCCTTCACTCTAGGATTCTGTAACAGAGATTCATCCCTTGAAAACCATCCAAAGCAAAGAATGAATAACATTTTGATAATAAATTGGTTAGTGGTAATTGGTGAGTTGGGTCTCTCTCTTTTTGTCTCCCTAGTTTCTCAAATTTCCTCAATTTTGTTCTTGTTTCTATCTCTGTTTCTCATTTTATTTCAGTTTCTCTTTTTTTTCATGCTCTTCAGTTCGCTCTATTCCATATTAGAGCATGCTATGATCTGTTTTCATTTCACTTTAAGCATACTTTTGATCATGGAAATTGACCAAAACACCTAAGCAGTTAATGAGAAACTAAGGATTCCAGTTACCTGATAAAGAACCCCATCTTCAGAGAGATAAAGGATGGTCTGGTTTACTATGAATACTGAAACTGCATGGCCTGCTAAAACAGGCAGGTCATGAGGTGCTATCACCCATTGAACTCCATTCCAAAACCTCTCATAGATTGACCCACTTTCCCCTGTAACCCAAATAGATGTATCAGACAACTTAGTGAGAGAAGTCCTCCTCCTCATTGGCAAACTCGATTCGAAGCTCTCCGAGCCCCTCTCTACTGATATCGAGCTCTTCGCGCTTTCTCGCTCATTGACTCCCAAACCCAACTTCCCAGACCTCTTGGTTTCCTCTCTCTCATCCAATCCTGAATCCAATTCTCCAAAGCTATCATCTTCCACTGTCTTATACAATCCTTTTCCTCTGTCCTCAATCTTCTCTATCACACCAACCTTTCTGCAATCCCTGTTTAAACATGTCTTCAAATCAAAGGGAAGTGTTATCTCTCTCCAATTCTGTGTCTTCTCTTCATATTCCCAATATCTCTCAGATTTTTGTTCAAATTTTGACTCTTGGGGTCCTGGAAATGGGCACCATGAGAGACCAGAAGCTTCAAAGTCCATCACCTGAAACACCAGGATTAAAACCCATATTGAGTTTGGAATATAGAAACCAACCATGGCCAGTTTCTTATATGCAGAAGCCAAAAAGCCAGGTTTTTTCGATGAGTAAAAAATCTCATCTCGCAGTCTTATCCATGGCCATATCCAGGCATCATGTCTGCAAATATAACACAGATTTGACAAGCTTGACTGCTCTGTACTTTATGGAGCACCAGTGGTCCATTTCTAGAGAGAGAAAAACCATCTGGTTCAAACAGTTTTGGTTTTCTATCGACCTTTTTGGAAGGCCTGAGTCCGCTTTTGGAGGGGTCCCTTGTACTTGGTTCTTCTTCAAATACAGAGTCCAGATGGGGCTTTGGACCCCTAGTGTTGTATTTTAAAGTAAGTTTTTAGTTTGTGGTTGTCTGGATCAGGGGTCCTGCTTAATTGGAGTTATGAGTCATCTATCAGCCTTTTGGATTTCTTTGATCTGCCTTTTTCTCTCTGGTTGGGAGAGAGATGGTTGTGTTAGTTTTTAGAGAGAGATGGTTTTGTTAGTTTTAAGAGAGTGATGGTTGTGTTCGTTTAGAGAGAGATGGTTGTGTTAATTAAGAGAGATGGTTGTGTTGGTTTTTTAGAGAGAGAGAATGTTGTGTTAATTGAGAGAGGGAGATTTTTGTCTTGTCTGTGTGTGAGAGAGAGAGAGAGGGGAAACTTTATGGGTTAGGTTATGGGGTTTCTCACAATTGACTGGAAGAGCCGTGGATTTTGTGTGCTGTGTGAGAGAGAGAGAGAGAGAGAGACGGTTGTGTTCATTGAGAGAGGGAGATTCTTGTTTAGGCTAAGAGAGAGAGCGAAAGGGAGATTGTTGTGTACGTTAAGAGAGATGTTTTGTTGAAGAGAGAGAGAGAGAGAGAGAGAGAGGTGTTTTTGGGGTTTCTGAAAATTAAGTGGACTAGCCCTGGATTTTCTGAACTGGAGTTACTGGCCTATATACCTTCTCTGGATATGGCCATCTAGATTGTTGGGATCCTGTCATATTTCTTGGCTACTTACTGCTCCTGTTTTTATTCAACTCTCTCTAAGGAGTACTCTTACCCCACATTCTCTCTCTCTCTATCCTGTTATTATTCAAGTGAACTCTCTCTTTCTCTCTCTAAGGAGTGCTCTTACGCCCTCATTCTCTCTCTCTCTCTCCTGTTTTTATTCAATTTAACTCTCTCTCTAAGAAGTACTCAACCACCCACAATCTCTCTCTATCCGTATTTTTGCCATTCTTTACATATATATCTCAAGGAGTACACTTATTCATCCCACATCTTACTCTCTCCAAAATATATATTGAAATTGCATTTACCTTTCAACCTTAGACTTTCTACAGAAAACCAATTTTATTTTTGCAATTTTACCTCAAAAAATAGCTTTTTAATAAATACCCCAAAGTCAAAAATTTATATTTATTTAGACCACAATGCCCTTGTCCGTACAAGCTCGCATCACATATTCGTAAAATATGCAACCAAACGTTAACTGTCGGACCGTAGTAAACAATTGCTGGACCGATGTAAAGACATGCGGGACTGAGGTAAAGACGTGCTAGACGGAAGTCATCACATCCCGGACCGTGTAGAACAACTGCTGGACCCCATCAAAAAATTGCCAGACCGAGGACACCTAGTGCCTGACCGCATTTCCTTTTGCCAGACCGATAGCCTAGACAGAGAAACAATTGCCGGACCAAATGTTGGATGTGCCGGACCGCATGCAGTTAGTGCCGGAACACTGATCCTGTTGCCAAACCGAGACCACTATAAATATTCTTAAAGAGAGGAACTCTTTTAAGAAAAATAATTGTGCCCTACACTATTTTGTGGTGGTTCTTCATTGTATATATAATGATAATACAATTGTGTAGTACACACTTTCCTATCTTGTTACATGCAATATACACTTTTTTATCTTGTTAAATTCTCATCTCAAAAAAATAGAACAATATTTCTATTGTGGTATTTCCAAAAATTGAAATTGGATATTGTTTTTATTGCTTCCATTCAAACTCGGCTAAGGAGGCATCTGAAGTCTGAGTTTGAAGTAAATATCTCGAAAAACATATACTGGCAAAGGCTTGGTGAAGATGTCAGCTACTTGATTGCGAGAGAAATCAAAACGATTGATAAGTAATCCAAGAGCATCATTTTCACACATAAAACGATTATCTAACTCCATGTGCTTTGTCCGTGCATGAAAAACATGATTAACTGTCATATAAAGATCACTAATAATGTCACAAAAAAAGTCTTGGTGGCTGAAGAAGAGGCAATCCAATATCCCGAAGAATAAAAGAAAGCCATATCAATTCTACAGCAATGGATGTCATAGATTGATATTCCGTTTCGACACTAGAACGAGCCACAATCGACTATTTCTTAGCACTCCAAGATATACAGTTAGAATAAAGTTATGTACGAAAACAGTAGTAGAACAACAAGTGATTAGACACCCAGTCCAATCTCCATCAGAGTAGTAACTCAAATGAATTAACATATAATATTCTTAAATTATAAGATTGTGCACCATTGAGATAACGAAGAGTCCACTTAACTGCCTTAAAATGTGCAATCGTAGGGGCATGCATAAATTGATACATTGTATTAACACTATAAGAAAGGTATGTTCGTGTTATGGTAATATTTTGGAGTGCACCAACAATTCTTCGATAAAGATAAGGATTAGGAAATGAATAAGATTTCTCAAGAACATTATTCTTTATTGCCATTGGTATTAAAACAGGTTTGGCACCGAGCATCTGAGCACGATCAATGACATCCTGGGCATATTTACTTTGCGAGAGAAAAATTCCATTTGAAAAATAAGATACATCTATGCAAATAAAGTAGTGAAGAGGTCAAAGATATTTCATTACAAATTCCCTTCAAAGTTGGGAAATGAACAATTCTAGAAGATCTGAATTTTTTATTTCACTCTTTCCATTAGGAGAATAAATCTTTTAACTTGGTGTAGGGCAATCACCATTAATAAATCCAAAAAGTTCTTGACTCTCAATGAGTGAAAGTATTTGAGTTTCCCATAAGAGCAAACTTAATAGACACAAAATTTCCTGTATTAAAGGTGGAGGGATATTTGTTTGATGAGGAAAGAGTATCTATTGGAGCGAGTAGGTATTTGAAGGGAGAGGGTGAGAGAGTGCATTTGAGGGTTTTTTTTTCTGAAGAAGAAGAAATTGGATATGCAAGAGAGGGTGATATGAGTTGCACTTGACTTGATTATTAGGGTAAAAAATAATATGTAGAGTGAAGTCAGTTTTAATGGTGATGGAGGGAGTAGGTTAATTAAAGAAGTGAGGTTTGAATATGTGAGAGATAAAGAGAGATAGTTTGACGTAGGATGGGATGAAGCTTAAGCATGCAAGAGAAGCCAAGAAAGTGAAACAATGAGGTGAAGAGAGTTTTTAATGTATAGAGGGAAAAAGTTAAAACGTGAGAAGGAAAAGTGGTGTAAAAAAAAACGATAATGGCTTAATAAAAATAATAGATGGGGAATGATTGAAGTACCGTGAGTCAAGATGAGGTTGTTGCCCGCTTTAGATTAAGAAACTACTTCAAGATGAATTGTTGAGAGAATCAGTGATGCTTTGATACCATATAAATTTTTTTTAAAGAGAGCAGAACCTTTTTTTAAAAAATAATTGTTGTGGTGGTTCTTTTATTGTATGTATAATAATAATACAATTATGCAATATGTACTTTCCTATCTTGTTACATTCTCGTATAAAAAAGAACGGACAATATTTCTATTGTGGCCTTTCCAAAAACAGAAATTGGATATTGCTTCTATTAAATAGAAATATTATCATTTCTTTTTGAGATGAGACTGTAACAAGATAGGAAAATGCATATTGCATGTAACAAGATAAGAAAATGTGTATTGCATGTAACAAGATAGAAAAGTGTGTATTGCATGTAACCAGACAAAAAAATGTGTATTATACAATTATATTACCATTATATATACAATCAAAGAACTACCACACAAAGTAGTGTGGGGCACAATTATTTCTCTTAAAAGAGTTCCTTTTCTCTCTAAAAATTTCTATAACCACGACCGGAAAAAATAAAGGCTTTTTAAGGACAGCATTTTTGGTTTTTTTTTTTTACTTTTTTTTTTTTTTTTTGATATGGCGATATATTTGCTGAAAAGGTATAATTTGGGGTAAAAATTGTAAACAAATGTTAGTTGGGGGAGATTGCCTAAAAAGTACAAGTCGAAGGTATCTGCAATTTTCGTAAATATATATCTCTCCGTGTTTTCTTCGACGTTTTGCCTTAGATATAACTTTCCACGCCTTCAAAACGTTTTGACATTTTATAAAAGTTTCTCACCATCTGGTTGCAGTGGATTCTTCCTCAAAATTTTGAGCGGTTGGAATAAAAAATAATAAAATAGCAGCCATTAACGACTTCCAATTATTCCAGTCACAGCAAGGTTTCTATGCTCCCATGGGAGCATAGTGTACGTTTACTCCCTCTATAAAAAAAACCTACATGGGATGATCTTTTTAATGTGAAATTTTGGAAATGACCCTTGATTAGTCTCGAAAGTTGGATGGTCACTATCTAATTTTGAGACATTAGTTTTTTTTTCTAAGTGCTTGAGGGTCCAATTAGGAATTTTTTGATTGAGATTAATCTGAAGGTTAAAAAAGCAAAATTTGGGGTCCGAAAATTAATCCTTGGATTTTATCTAAGGGATTAATATAAAGTATACTTCTATAGGACCATAATATCTTTTGGCTTCTAGTTATTTTTATTATATTAGAGTAGTGATCCACTCATGTGTATACGACTTCAAATGATCACTATTAAAATTGGCAGGGATAATTAAAAAAGTTATCACATAGGTGGAGGACTTGATTTTTCTATAGATCCAAGCCATATTTAATGGTGATCTTTTGGAATCCTACACACATGGGTGGAAAAAAGTCCTACAGAATCGTTTCTCATTATATTATGATCTACTCTTTAATATTTTATATTTTATTCTTTACTTTTTAATGTTTTATAATTATTCTATCCATTGATGGCAAGTACAAAGCTCTCTAATCCATTAGGTTTCCTTGCATAAGGGTTTAGTCACCTACTAAGTCGTCTTGATCTTAGGGATATAGAGAAAGAAAAAAATATATGAGCGCTAAAAATAGTGGATCATGTAATGCTTTCTTTGGATCATTCATTTTTGAAGTGCTTATAAATCTGTTAAATTCAAAATATTTTTAGGGCGTGAAATTTTATAATTAAAAATAAAAATATATTTATAGGAAGTTTTCAGCACTAAAAGTACATTTTTCCATAAGAGTTTTGGTCTTGTTACTTTACTTTATATGAAGTCCTACAGTAACCTTACTCATTTAAATATGAAAAAAGTATCTAAGAATTATCCTTATATTGTAGAAGTATGGCAAACATAAAAAAATCCACATAAAAATGTTATTCTTGTGTTGGAATCCTTAAATTGATCATCTGAACTTCATGATGTACGATCATAAAAAAATGATTTCAAGTCCTCTAAATAAATGCGGATTATCTATTTTCAAGTGGTTATAAATCTGTTTGATCTACACTATTATTGGATCTTTAAAATTTAATCATTGAAAGTAAATTTTCAGGCTGGTAGGAGTTTACGACGTCAAAACTATACTTTTTAACAGAGTTTAAAGAGATGCTTAACATGATTTCCGACACCAAAACTACATCTTTTGGAGGAATTTGGAGACACATTTGTTGCAATTGTCGAAAGTTGATGCCTTACATAAATCGCACCCCATAAATTGTTCAAAAATTAT